GGATCAAACTCAGGTCCTTGCTCTTGCAAGGCAGGTGGCAGAACCACTGAGCTAAATCCCCTGCCCTTCAAGCAATTTTATTGTAGAAAAATATATTAATTGATCAATAAGACAAGCTTATACAAATAAAAATAATAATTTGAATATAAAACCACAATTTGCATATAAAACCTTATTGTAACAAAAGTTTATTGTCCTTGTTAAAAGAAGGTGATTAGAGGTGAAGGGTGAGTATAAGAAAGTCCATTTTCTTTTCTATATTGTTTCTTCAACTTTTAGGGGACTTACAGGTATCTTACACTCAAATAAATAATTATAACACAGGAAATATATTTTGGAGGCAAAATAAATACTAAACCCGAAATCTCTTTCTTAGCTTTGGACAGTGCCAGTATTGTAGCCAATGAAGTTTATCTGAGATGTGATTATTGCTAATTAAATCTTTCTTCTTTTTTTCTTTCTTTCCCTCTCTCTTCCTCACTTTCTTTTCTTTCTTTCCTTCCTTCCTTTCTTTTATTTTCTTTCTTTCAGTTTTTAACACAGGGTCTCACTATTTAGTTCAGGCTAACCTTGAACTCACGATGTAGCCCAAGCTGGCCTTGAACTCATGGAGATCCTTCTGCCTCAGCCTCCCAAATTCTGGGATTACAGACTTGCACCATCACACCCAGCAGAAAGCATTTAAAAATGCACAGAAATAGCTTATACACTCAACAGACTGCAGATTCATAGAGGATGCCACCTCTTTAGCCCTTCCATTTGGCACACATATGCAAAAACATGGCATGCAGGTATGGATTTGTGCCATGACACTGGACTAGAAACTTATATTAGGGCCAGGGATTTAGCTCAGTGATTTCTCTGCCTGCTGTGCAAGTGCAAGGACCCGAGTTCGATCCCCAGTACCAAAAAAAAAAAAAGAAACTGTTATATTAAATATATCGATCAGTGTGTCTACCTGAAAGTATAATGTCCGAATGTCTTTTTCTTTTTTTTTTCTTTTGAGACAGGGTCTTGCTATGTAGTTTAGGGTGCCCTTGAACTCTTGAACTCCTTGCAATCTTCCTGCCTCAACCTCCCAAGTGCTGCGATTATGGGCATGAACCACCATGCTGGGCATTAGAATGTCATTCTATTTCGTGTAGAGATGTTATTATACAATAAAAAAAAGAGCATGTCTAAAAGTGTTTCAAGAGCTGTTATGGTCAAAAGTAATTAATTGAACACTAATTTTGTTTTTTGAGACAAGGTCTTGTTCTGTAATTCAGGCTGGCCTCAAACTCCTGGCAATCCTTCCGCCTCAGCCTCACAAAGGCTGGGATTATAAGTGTGAGGCACCATGCCTAGCATTAACTGAACAGTAATCGAACTGGTGTGAACAGAACTTCACCTTGCTTTTTCCCATGTAAATATACATTACAGGTGGTCAGATCGTACTTCTAAAAAATCTTTTTAGGAGCTGGTGTGGGGTGTATTTCAAAGGAACAAGTCTTAAAGGAGAAAGTCTGGGAGACTAATGTGTCCAAACAAGAGCCAGCTTTTGCTGTAGGTTCAGTGGGGGTGGAACTGAGTCCCTACAGAGGCCCAAATGCACACAAGAATTCAGTTTCAGATCTATGGGGGTAAGATAAGCTATTCACAAAGTGAGGTGGAATCCAGGGGTGTAGCTCAGTGGTAGAGTGGGCTCCATAACACGAGTAAAATCCAAAGACTAAGGATTCAAGCATAAGAAATGAAACTACAGCTGGGGATTTAGCTCAGTGGTTCTGCTGCCTGTCTCACAAGAGCAAGGTCCTGAGTTCGAACCCTGGTACCAAACAAAACAAAAGAAATTAAACTACAAAAAAATTGGAGAACACATGAGTGAATTTAAAAAAATTCTTGAGTGGGTGGGCATGACACAAAACTCAAGAGTCATAAAGGAAAACCAATTTGACCACATACAAATCTAGAGATGAGGAAAATATCACGTATAAATCAAATAGCAGCCAAGTGAAAAGCAGTATCTGGAATACACTGCCAGTTTCTCTTAAATAGAAAAAAGTTCTCACAAGTAAGAAAAACTACAACTACATTTTCATAAAAATGGATAATGTACATGAACAAGCAGTAAATAAATTTATAAAAGAGATGACCTCACATAATTTTAAAATAGGTGTTTCTTTGTTTGTTTTTGGTTTTTGGTGTTAGGGGCCAAACATAGGACTTCACGCACACTAGGTATTTACCACTGAGCCACACTCCTGCCTTAAAATATAATTTTGGAGCAAGGTGATGAGATATTCTTTTAAAACAAAGACCTGGTCCTTGTGAGTGTAGAATGTGGTATGCACACAGTTATGGCAACATTTTAGGGAAAAAATGACTCTCCTGTTCTGTTATTGGGGTATGAAGTGGTACAGCCTCTCTGGGGAGCAATCGATCAATATCAATTTCCTCCCACAATTTTTTTTGTGGTGCTGAGGAGGGAACCCAGGACCTCACCATGCTTCCCTCACAGTTTTTATTGAAAAATTTCATGTACACAAAAAAGCTGAAAATTTGTACAGTGCACAGTAAGATTTTTTTTTTTGGTACTGGGGATTAAACTCTGGTTCTTGCACTTGTGGGGCAGGGTGCAGCACCACTGAGCTAAATCTCCAGCCCTACAGTAAGATTTTACAATCACCTATCTGCTCACCAATCAAGCCATCTTCTATTTTGATGCACTTCAAAGTAAATTGATGTCTTGTTTACATGTACCAAATACCTACAATGAATATACACATTTATGTCAGACATAAACTAAAAATAATAACAACAAGAATGAAAATGGGAAAAGGAGATTTAGAGATGGAGGGAGGGAGCTTAATGGGGAGGGGATTAAAAAAAGAATCAAACTGTGTTGTGTACATGCACCTACTCCCTAAAGTGAATGAAACTTCATGTACTGCAAATGTGTACCTAATAAGACAGAGAGATAGAGAGAAAGGAGAGAGAGAGAGGGAGAGAGAGAGAGAGAGACAGCGAGCTCATTCAGATGGGGAAATTGTAATAAGTCGGGTGTGGTCAACAGTTGCAGGATGGGAAACAAGGGCTGAGTTGGCTCAGGGGGTCTTCTTAGCTTGCTGACAACAGGTATAGTGGTACAAGTCTATAATCTCAGAATTTAGGAGGCTGAGACAGGAGGTCATGAGTTCAAGCCCAGCCTAAATTACAAAATGAGACCCTGTGTAAAAACCCAAAAAACAAACAAACACAAACAAAAAATAATGTAAATTGCAGACATCAATATGCTTTATCATTAACATTTCAGCATATGTATCAAGTGGAGTTCAAAATTTGTTTGTAGTTTTTTTTGTTTTGTTTTGTTTTTTTGGTACCGGGGATTGAACTAGAGTTCTTGCGCTTGCGAGGCGGGCAGTGGCCCTAGTAGTTCTTTTTTATTTTGGGTAAAATTTGCATACAGTGAAATGCATAAGTTCTTTTTTTTTTTGGTTCAGGGGATCGAATATGGGACCTTGTGCTTGCGAGGCAGGTGGCAGAACCACTGAGCTAAATCCCCAGCCCAAAAATATGGAACGCTTCACGAATTTTCGTGTCATCCTTGCTCAGGGGCCATGCTAATCTTCTCTGTATCGTTCCAATTTTAGTATTTGTGCTGCCAAAATGAGCACGAAATGCCTAAGTTCTAAATGAGCAAATGCACAAACATTTGTAATCCAAACTCCTATGAAGATATAGGATATTTTCATCACTCCAGATATGTAGTTCCTTCCTGTGCTTTCCCAGTTAATTTCCACCCCTCCTCTCCATGCAGGCAATTTTTCTCTCTACAGATGCACAGTAGATATTTTTTCCCCTCTACAGTACTAGGGATTGGACCCTGGGGCTTTGCACTGAGCTACATCCCCAGAGCTTTTTATTTTTTATCTATCTATCTATCTATCTATCTATCTATTCATTTTTGGTACTGGGGATTGAACTCGGGACCTTGTGCTTTCGAGGCAGGTGTTGGAACCACCAAGCTAAACCCCCAGCCTTTATTTTTTATTTTGAGACAGACTCTCACTACGTCATTAGGTTGCCCAGGCCTGGCCAATAGATACTTTTTAAGGTAAGGCTTCTTTACTCACCCTGATTTTTTTTTTTTTTTTT